TCAAAATGGCGATGATAAAAAATCACTCATCTCATTTAGATTTGACCAACTTACAGCATACAAACCTCCTAAGTCCACGCTACGGGAACCCTCAAACATTAATATCCACATTTCCCACTGTTTCTTAGCCCTATTAGTCTTAGCGTAATGTCTTAGAACCTAAAACCTTGCCTGATTAATGCTCTAAAGATTTTTTCAATTCGACCCAGTACTTCTTGAACGAGTTCAAAGAACCTCTTCAAATGCTTAATATATTAGTACAGATAAAATAGACTAAGTGAAGAGAGCGCTCAGAAAGCACTTTGCCTAACTTCAAAACAGTCGGCCACTTTAACTAATAACTACACTGCTTAGGCCTTAGCCCCTGCTAATGCGAGCGAAATAATCACTCTAAAGCATCTCTCCAACCGCGGAGATGTCACGTATCCGTCACCTCGAGTGACGGCGGACGTCTCAAGAGATCAGGACGTTTCGTTGTTTGACACGTCGGCCGGTTCAATTTACATGCGACTTTGTATGCGGAAATAGTAAACAAATGTGTGAGAAACCTTAATAAATAAATACATTACTTACTATTATTATTATTAACAGTAGCTTAGCTAGGTGGACAAGGGCCCCGGACTACGTAATTCCTAAGGCCTTCAAGAAAGAATCGGGTCCTCATCCCCTTTTAGCATAGCTTGAATTAAACGAACCTCCAAAATTATAAATAGCAACAAGAACGTTAAAACATCATTTTCTTCTACGCTTTATCTTCTCAAAGATAAGGTTCTTCTTTTAGATCCGGTGGGCTCTTGACAGAGCGGTCGTGATAGCTATGTACTCTATCTTAGAGGGGGCAGATGTGATCCGTTTCACGATTTTTTCCATTCTGCCTCTAGAGGTCATTCGGCTGCACTCGTTCAGCTAGCATTAAACGAACCCAAAATGATAAATAGCAAAAAGAACGTTAAAACATTAGTTTTGGCCTTTTACGCTTTATCTTTAAAAGATCAAACGAAATGTTAAATAATCGATTACAAAAAAGTTACGACACCAGTACTTGACCGGCATCAAAGCGTTCTATTGCGCGAGATGTGCATGTATCATAAGTTGAAAAAAGTAGCTCAATTAGTTAGAGCAACTCGGAACCGTAAATGCGGGTTCAAGGCCTGCCTGAGTCGTAAGTATTTTCAATTTTCATTTTGTTTTCAGATTCAAAAATGAACACACACAAAGAAAGATAAGAAAACCCTCATTTTTCCTACGAATCACGTCTATTCATACAAACAACGGATACATTGCATTTTACTCCGGAAATCGAACCTGGCGTCTCTCGTGCGCGTTCTACAGCTTAGTAATAAAATGTACGGTGAATGTATAAATCAAGCGAGAGCTATTTACATGACAAATAACAATTAAGTCCGCCGTTTGTATCGTATAAATCTAGATTCGTCCTGTCAGAACCGAACAAACACAACTTGGCTGGGGACAGTCTCATTTGCATTCACATGTATCTGGTGTAAAAATTCACCCCTCGATCGATGCTGACCGTTTCAAGGTAAATACTGTTTTTGTTTTGGATTCGTTTGCTTCTATTCAGGGCGAGTGGAGAGTAGCTGTTGCTAGTTTGGAGGATCATGGCTATACGGGTTTAGTTAACGCAAGATATAAATTGATAATGTATTTAACGTTAGAAATATAACACTTTTAACAGTTTAATTCGCTAAATATATTCGTAACTTATCTTTTATTTTATACCTACACTTTGCAGCTTTATAGCTTTTGCTACAATTAAATAAAACACATTTTAAAACACGAATTTAACGCATTAGAAGTGTGTTTATTCAAATGTATAGTACAAAAGTAAAGATAATACTAAAGATTTGCCTACGTTTTAAACTGTAAAATTTTACAATAGAATTTTTTGAGCACTTGGAGTAAATCACAGTGTGTTAAAGTAGTACATGATAATATACTTATGTACTTAATATAAAACACTGATATAATATGGTTACATTATACAATCAACCAAAAGAAACTGAGAAAAACTAACGTAAAAAAAGGTTCTAGTCTAATATTGCATTTTTTTACACGATATTTATATTAAAATCAAGGAAGCATAATTTATTTACATCTTTTAAACATATTTAAAACTGTAGGAGACATAATTATAGTTATTCTTAAGAGAATGGTATTGCTATAATGTTTGTTGTAAAAGTAATAACTTACATTGACATTATAATGTTCATTATTCATAATATTCTATAAACCAACAATAATAAGTGTTTTATAGTTCGATTAGTAAATAGTTATAAAATGTGAATTTATTTATTTTTTACAGATAACTTATTATTTTGGACATTATATTAATCTGTACCCAATATATACTAGTACTAGCTGTGGCTGCGACTTCGTCCTCGCAAAATAATTATTTGTTTTAACAAACCTACTTTTCGTTTCTGCAAGGTAATTTAAAATAATTTTGGTCGTTCGGGTATTTGTTTTAACACCAACCTACTTTTCGTTTTGCAAGGTAATCTTCAAAAAAAATAATTTGAACCAGTATTTCGTCATTCGGAAACACACACTCTTGAACCGTTTATAACATTAGTATAGATTTGAAATATAAAACCTCTCCGATCGCGTCGGTAAATACCCCGTAAATTGAAATAAAACGGTTCGAAATCACCCTCGCGACAATGCAGGCCCACGCTGCGGGGAATTTGAAGGACTCCGAAGGCATAATGATATAGGTCCCTAAGGATCGGCACAATGCATCCGGGATAATAATAGTTGTAGATTTGAGTAATTTGAATATGAATGCCACCCTCCCGCGAGTCCTCGTAATAACAGATATGAAGTGTTGTTCCCTCGATTTTGACTTACGAATTGTCCATAATTATTGTATAGTTGCGTGTTTGATATGCGTTCTGAATGGCGTGAGGTCAATTTTCGAATTGATTATAGTATTCTGTGAATGCACAATGTGTTACATCATTGGTCATTGGTTTATTGGACGCTTATTGGTTAAGCGTGTTGCCTACCATTTCTTTTAGATCGAGACGACCTGGGTTCCAATCTTATGGCACTCTTAGTTACATAACTTTGAAGGGCGCGTTGAGCGTTGGGCCCGTGGAATCGAACCCCACCAGGTCCAACAAATTACTTATACTTCTCATAAACATGTTTGGAAATTTATATTTTAATAGGGGGTAGAAATACTGCCGTACACAAATAAGAGCCGTGAAATTTGCGTTTCCTTTTCAGTTTGTGAATTTCCAAATATCCAATACCAAATTGACAGCGCATCTTGTTAAAATGATATATGGTTATTACAACTTTATCTATTGCAACCCATGCGAAAAAAAATTCGATGACGTGTAGCTCAATTGGTTAGAGCAACAGCACAGTGCGCACAGCGCATACCGGTTCACCTGCCCGTGTCGTAATCAAAATCAAATTCAAAAACTTCTTGCTTCTCTATTATCTTGTATAAAAAAGCCATTAACATAAAAATCGAACCTGCAACGAAATCACTGTCCGATATCCACTGTACGGAGTCCCGTGAATGGTGTTGATTTAGTAGCTATAAAAACGCGCTAATAAATTTCAAAAGGAAATTACGGAGTCCGCCAGCACCCATTAGTAATAAAACATTTGAGAATTCATCGGCATCTTCTGAGCATTATTTATGTGACGGTAAACATTTTAATGTTCATTAATGTTATTCGATTCTGTTATCGGCCTTTCTAATGTGTACGGCGCCTGAAATCCGGCGATCGGCGGACGTCCTTCACATAAAATTTCGTCCCAAACAAACACCAAGTTTTAGCAGCCGCCCTTTGTTTTTTGAAGCGTGTTGCGGGATTTACAATTTCGATAATATTGACTCGGCCCATAGTTTGAAAAGTGATGACGTGTTGAATAGCACCCAATTTAAAATGTGTTTTAATGTTTAAATAAATGTTTAGTATTACGTTACAAAGAACAAAGTAGCTATTACTTTGGCGGTTTGTCTGTATGTCTGTAATTAACGTGAATTGTTTATATTTAAATAATATTCCAAATTTTAAAACACCACAAATATTATTTATTTTTTTACCACTCAAAAGGCTGTAGAAATAAGGTAATTAATAAATTTCACATTTTAAACCACTAAAATTGTTCCATTTAGACTTTGAAAGTTATAAAGATGGATGACATGGGCGATACTAGAAGCATCAACTAAGGACGGGTTGTTCTTGATAATAACTAATAAATGACAAATTAAAACAGTTTTAAGCTAACAACACATTAATCTATCTTGTCTTGCAAACTATATTTTTTAACGACAAAACAATAACAAGCATCTACGAAAATTGCTAAAACTAATAATAATTGCTATAACGAATAGTGATCCTTAGGACAACATAAAAATATGGCAAATTTCAAGTACTACTTCCTCGTTCATCGTTGAAATTAAAAACCAAAACCACGTTTTATCATTACCAACAAGATTTTAAAAATCGGTTACAAATTGAAAAAAATTACAACACGGGCAGGACTTGAATCGCGTTCCGTGCTGTTGCTGTAACCAATGTGCTACCTTGCTACCGTGTCCTACACGTCATCGCATACTTTTTTCAACCTATTGATACATGCACCACGCATGTTAGAGCAACGTCACAGAACGCAGTGCATGCCGGTTCGAGACCTGTCTCTGTCGTTTTTTTTTTCAATTTATATACTGCCATCATGTTCAATAATATGTGAAAAATATTATTGCACACTGATACATGTGTTGACTAAAGCATAGGTTCTAGGTAGCCCATTAATATCACATTGCAAAAAACACCTGCAAAGTCATAGTGAATTACAAATATCATTGTTTTAAAGAACAAAACATTTAGTCACATATCCTTAGAATTGACACTAGCCGTATACAACATACATAATTTATCAAACAGAAAATACGAGGACTGTTTCCTAATAAGGTGATGGACAAGAACGCTGCAGTTAATATCCTAAAAAGGACAAAAATGCTATCCCAAAGAAGTTTGGATCTCCCGAAATTCCAGGAGACTGGGTACGTACCATATATGGAATGATGGATAAACTAAACTACGGACACTTTTTGCTTATATATCGTTGAGACTTGTATTAGTCGACGTACAAAAAGTCTATCAGTCATATATACTTAGAAATACAGTGGAAAGCTTTATCCAATATAAACACTTACAACGGTTTAAAACGCGAAATATGTTAACTTATTTTAGCGGCCAAACGCTCTAGATGCTTTGCAGCAGCCGTAGTCATGCGGGCAAATAATCCGATAGAAATTTCGCGTTTTGAGCCGTTATAAGTGTTTTATTTAAATTTGTAGTACACGCAAAAACTATAGATAATTCTGCGCACTGAATCAGACTTCTGACCTTCTGATCGAAACAATTTGTTGTTTCCCAAGGTTTCAAAGCTAGGACGCGCTTAACGCCTTGCAGTACACCAATCAGCTATGGAGGAGAAAACAGTGGAGTTGAAATTGATAAAGCGTTACTAAGCCTATCTGGGACAAAATACAAAACACCAAGGCGAGGTGGGTCTGGTTCTTGACTAGATGACTGGAACTTTGTATATACACATAAGGCAAAAACCAGATAAAACTTTAAAAGAAATTCGAAGCACGTTTTCAGAAATTAACACTCAGCGATGTAAAATGATCATGATCCCCCATTATAAACCCATATCGCTGCGTTTCCGCTGATGACGCTAGAATATTCCGGAAATGACAACAGCCGATCTATTGTTTCAACCACAATGCAGACTGACAAAAAAACTCGGATACAGAATAAATCAAATCTTTACGTAAACGTTGGCTAGCCCTGCTTAGGTGGTATTAAATAACTAGACTTTTTCTGTAATATGTTTCAATCTATTTTCTATCTCACATCTTAAGAGCTAGAACCCACCACGGTGCTCCAGTGCAGGTGTGGTAAAAGCCCACATTTTACCACTTATAATACTAAACTAGCTGTTACCCATGAAGATACTTAAGTCCAAAAATGAAAAATTTATTTGTAGTGATATAAACGTCCCAATTTATAATGAAAGACGATCAAAATGAATTTTTAAAATTCGCATTTTCTTACAATTGCCGATTCATTTGGGAGATTCGATTGTGAATTTTGATAATGTCATGTTTAAAACGCCGATAGCAGAGCGAGGGTGCTGAAGCGTCCGTTTTGGAAATTAAATTGTCAAGAGAAGATTAAATTAAGCTATATTTTGAAAGTAATTTTTGTGACTTCCAGTATAAAAAATCAAATGTCAACTCATATACGAGTATTACATGGTTGGCATTTATTTATACACTAGATGTGCCGGCGACTTCGTTCGCGAGAATCGTTATTTTGGGCATCCAAATTCGTTTTGCAAACGCCATCATCTTTATAAACTTAAGCTGTTACCCACAAAAAAGACGTCTGTCTGACCTCCTTCTAGATCATGTAAAGAGGACCTTCTTTTACATTTTTTTTGTTGTCATGCCATTTGAAGTACGCATCTGAAACCTACAGAGAAGAAAAATGTCCTTCATTTTTGTTCACATTTCCCGTTGTATCTTCGCTTCTGTTAGTCACAGCGCGATATTGCGCGATTAGCGCGTTTCAACAAACAAACAAACTCTTCAGCTTTTGACGGTCTCGTTGGTCTGTGGCAATGTAATGCATCAACGGGTCGTGGATTCAATCCCTAGCGGAAACATATTAGACTTTGTCTGGAAATCTGGATAGTAAATGGGTGGGCATATAGGAATTCAGTCACAAAACACCGTCCAAAGATGGAAAAGCACTGAAGCTTAATCGAGTTTCGGTTTCAGTTCGTGGATTTCCGAATTTGCAATGCCAATAAAGGTCGACAACGCATCTTGTGTAGATGTTATATGGCTTGGGCATTTCACCTCCCATCAAGTAAAGCCCCTGCTTGTCTGTTCTCCTCTATCATCAAAATAGGCTACATAACATGGAGTCTAAAAAGTTTATCTTGGTGGGGTATGGGGCAAACACTTTTATGTGACAGGTTCACTTATCTATTTAATTCAGTACAGAAACTATTTAATGTTTTCCCGAGATTCGAACCAACATCGAAATTTTTATTAATCTATGCAGGCTAATTGCTACAAATATTTAAAACATTCCATGCAGCTTAATGTAATAAAAAATAAAGTTGTGATCGATGTATTGAGTTCGTATGTTTGACGTTTGACAAGTCACGATTTATATTTTTAACACGCAACAGCGTTTTAAGGACGATGACTAACTGCAATAGAAAAGTTTAATTCCAATTAATATATACAAAAATATATTTTTACTGTTTACATTTTAAACGGACTAAAACGCGAAATATATTAGTAAAAAATATAAGCCCGACTTCTCGGATTTATGTTTACACTAGACGTAGACGACACTTAGATCCTTTTATAATTAAATAAAAAAAATACTTCTAGACTTAACTTGGACAGTTGGTTATTGATTTATTGTATGTGGCCACATTTACATTTTTAATTATTTTACCGCTGTTCAGTTTTTATCTGTACCGACAGCGCTATCTAGATGATGTATTGATACATCAGTCATCGTCCATGGACTTCGGGTCATGGGTCAACGATAAATCGAAGGAAACAAACATCGCATTTCTTGTCAGCCTGATAACTTTGTTCTATAACTTAAAGCCTTTCACTCGTCGGTTTAGTGGTTAAAGCACTTGATTGTAATCAAGAATTCCTAGTTTCAAATCTTGCGAAAGTACAGTTCGATAATTAAAAAATTCTAATAACTTTACTACGTTTGTTTTCGTACGAGTATGGAAGTATGAGGTGTCAATTTTTCCTCTAATTCTCCTCAATTGTTATTATAACATATTAGTTTACATGCTTGGGGTTTGGAAAAAACCGCTCTAACAAAAAAAAATAAGTAGTGCACTTACTGAAGACTGTAAAAAAAAAGTGAAGGCGATAAAATGAGCTTTGGAGAGTTCAGTTCTTGCCAGTTCTTCTCGTTCTTTCCACGATTGATTTGAGAATTTATAGTAAATGTAAATTTAGAGTCTTTAGTTTTTCACTGGTGTGACGTACGAAGTACTTACCTACGCGAATAAATGATTTTTAACTTTTACTTTGTTTATGAATAATCCAGGTTTACCTTTATTATCTAATACCTAACTGTATCGTCGGTCTATTGGTTAGTCTAGTTCTATTATGATATCAGAGTCGGGCGATATTATAGTTCGGTATTTGCCAACATTAATTTCAACTACGTCCCGACGATTGCCCCCCCGTGAACATGGCTGCTAAAGAGTAGACGAAACGTCCGATCGTAAATTGTAAATAATTAAGCATTTCACGTATTAAACGATAAAAAAGGGTTTTATATAAATTTTAACATTAAAGAAACTCAGTAACTTCAATTATATAATAAATAAATTTCTCTGTGTGGGACACGTGCGAACAAACTTTTCTGTCCATTTCACTGAATGCTTATATTTACAGTAGGTACAGACATGAACAATAAATTGTTTTCAATTTAAATAAAACACTGTAACGGTTTAAAACGCGATATATTAGTTAAACTTATTTGAAAATTATTTTTAACTTCGGCCCGACGTTGATCTTGAACGAGACTGAGGTCTCCCGTGACCACGGCTGCTGCAAACTAACTAATATATCGCTGTTAAAGTGTTTTATTTAAATGTGTACTACTCGCGTAAACTATAGACAGTATCAAATTGTTTTCAAATTCGAACCATCATTTTACCATTGAGCTACGAGGGGGGTTAAACTATAACATTACTAATATTATTTTCCCCATAATTTGTAACATAATTATGTAACATTCTTTATCTTAAAACTAAACGCTGTTTAACTACTATTTAAACAAAGATGGATCGCGTCCACGAAGTGATTAATATTCGAGACTGAAGGACAATAGAGCTATTTGATCTATGGTTACAAGGCGTTGAAGTCAGTTTGACGATTCGTTTTTAATTAAGTCAATACACAACACGATTGATAGATCACTTATCTTGTGAACCATGCAACGAATGTGCGTTTGTATAACAGTCTTAAAAATGATAATTTTCGAGAAACTACAATCGAGATATTTCTGGCGGTCCCATTGGTCAAATGGTAGTAGTGTAGGTTCGCTAAAAATCAACGTGTCTAATGTTTGTAATAAAATTATTTATGTATATATTATATATTTATATATTAAACGTGTTTTTTTTTTAAGACAAGACTTCGAAAAAAATCTGGATATTTAATGGGTGGTGGGATTATGGAAATTCAATTGAAGTCACAATTACTGAATAAAAAAGCTATGATTTGGTGGTTCGGTTCCTTTCTATTCAATCTCATTGCCAAAGCGACAAGACAAAAAGGACGACAACGCATCTTCTTTAGACAGAATATGGTCGATTAAACTCAATGCTTGTCTATCCCCCAGTGTCATTAATAATGATATTTTTAATAACTTTCAATTATATTAACTTATATTTTGCGTTTAACCTTTCAAAGCGTTTTATTTTAATCTGTACATGTAGTACAGATTAAAACAGATAATACCGTAGTTTACACTACAGTATTGTCTGTTTCACTACTTTACTTTAGAATATATGTTAAAATTAAAACAAAGTATAGTTAAACATAATAAGAGTGCCATGCCCGACTGAAACTAAATAAGGTTTCCCTAGAATGTGAACCCAGGACCAAAAAATATCAGGTGAATAATAAAACAAAGTCTATATTAGATAATTATAAATTCTCACCCCAGGAAGCAATACCGCACAATAATCGTAAACAAGTCAGTGTGTTTGATCAGGACTAGATAAACCAGTTCCCAGGAGAAAATTCCTACCAACCGGGATTATCGGATGTCCTTAATCTTATAGGGAATGGAATTTTAAACTGGTACATTGTGCTTGGCATATCCGTTACTTCACTTCCGGATTTTGAACAGTTTTGTTGTAAGTATTGTCTGTAGATTACGCGAACAGTACATATTTAAATAAAACATTTTTGACGCTTGAATCGCGAAATGTAATTAACGACACGCCGGGCGGTACTTAAAATGATCTACACTTATAATATAAAGAGGAAAGATTTGTATTTTTGTATATAACGGAACAAAAAGTACTGGGCCAATTTTAATAATTCACTTATAATTCATTATAATTAAAATGCATTATAACTGAGTAACATATAATTAGTACTATTACTATATACATCTTTAGAAATTTCTATGAAAACCAACGGGTCGCGAGAAAAAACATCGCGGCCATAATATGGAGACCAGCATATTATGTCTAACTATTGTAGTTACGTCAGTATAACTACTTTTTTTACATTAAACAAGTTGATAGAAATGCCGAACAAAAACAGAGTATACACACCGTGTGTATGGATAACACGGTCACATTTATAAATTTTTATCCAAAAAAATATTCAAGACTGTCTCAATACCTGATGATTACTTTCTTAATTATTGAAATCGGACATTCCATCCAAAAGATATCATGAAATTAAAACAAAAATAATGCCGTGCGATTTAGTTACTCGATGCGCTGCACAGCGCATCGAGTAACTAACTCGGTACAAACTAAATGCAAGTTCGTCGCAGCCGAAGACAAAGTACAAGCGCCGAGCGCTCGCAGCGACTTGATTTATTTATAATCTGTGCTTAAGCTTTTGTTAGACACGTGAAAAGTAACAAAAAATTTATTAAGTTAAAGTTACATGTGATATAACAGTATTAAAACTTGGCACACATTTTATTTAAAAATATAATATAAAATAATTAAACAAAAACACTTTAACGGTTTAAAACGCGAATGTTAGCATATAACAGTATTAAAAATCGTCTAAATTTATAATGTGTACTACTCGCGTAAACTATAGACAGTATTTACTTATTTCATTACAAGTTGTACTTGAGTAAATAAACAATAAAATGAGAAATCATTGTTACCATCAAAATCAGCTTTTATGTTCGCCCCCCTCGCAACAAGCATGTCCTTGTCTCTGTTCATTAATTCGCTATCTCCTTCAGGTCTTATGTCCATCGTTACTAAAAAAGTCGTTTTTGTAATAAAACCAATGGGCTAAAGCATATCATAAAAACTTAAATGCAAAACTGGCATAATAGTTAAACAAATCACACGTCACGAAAATAAACATTTATTTTTTGTACACATACAAACTCATTTGTTCCAAGACCATAATACAAACAAAATGATCATGAGCACAAAAAACCAAAACAAATTGCCAATTTTCAGATCGTCCCGATAGCTATTGATATAAAACTGTAATTAACGAGGAATGCACAAAAAATCTAACACAAAGATATGTCTGCGATGATAACGAGGCAGGTAAAAAGGCCTGCTAGATGATAGAGAGTGATAAGGAAATTATAAAGGCGCGTTGATTTAATACCTTTGTCAGTTCGTTCCTCTGGCCGTACGAGACGTATCTAAGAATTAATAACCAATATAATTGAACGAGTAAAATAACATTTATTCTTAATATCCTTATTTGTATTAAAGGAGTGTTTGTTTGTTGTAGTCTCAGGAACTATTGAATTGAGAAATGTTTGTGTTGGTTAGATCATTTATAGGGAAAGGCAAAAATTTAAAAAACAAACAAAATCTTCAGCTTTATATATTAGTATAGATTACTTCCTTTATTAATGGTCATTTTGGTAATATTGGTGGTTTTATCGTTTAAGATTAACTTTTTAATTTTTTGGTCAATTATTAGGGACTCATTCTCAAAGTTTCAGCTCGATAGTAATCAAGTGTAAAAAATGTAGTAGATATGTCTGACTTATAACACGGTCCAGTGCAGTGCTGAGCTACTGGAATAATTTGAACCGGCAATTATAAACTCTTAGGATATTTAAATAAGATAAGCAATTAACACTACGTCATGTCAGTAACCAGCGCTTCTAACCGACAAACTTATCGCCAGTCAAAAACAATTACGCAAACAAATCCATCAGGAGTATCTTGAGCAATAAATAAGCCGTCACAGATAAGCGACTCCTAGAAAGGCACAAAGTGCCGCGTGACGTAACCGCTATCGCGAGACCTTATGACCGAACCAATTTCCAATAGAAAACAATTGGCCGGGAAATGTGGGGACACAATTCTTTCTCAGCTCAAATTGGCTATAAAGGAGTTAGGTGAAACATATGTTGCAGCTAGTGTACGTGATTCTGACTTTTACGGTTAGTGGCGGAAAATTATTGAAGACTGGTTATAGAACAGTCGCCGATGCGAAAGCTGAGATAACGCGACTTAAACAAAAGAACAATGTATATTTATAAGGAAATATAAATTACAGACAAACTTCAAATATAAATACTAAATATAGAATTAAAATTAAGTATTTTATTTGTGCGGAGCATGGATCAGACATATTATTGTGGACGTGTTTCGTTAATTAACTTTATAGAAAATTATGATGACCATCAGATTTCTGTACCCTGACACACTAAGAGTAACATGTTTCTATAAGATTCAAACTAAGGATCTCATACTTAACGCAACTGTAGGCTTGAATTGACTGCTATTGATTATATAGCTAGTAATAATTATCGGGTCGTGGGTTCGAGCCCCACCGTTTCCAATATTTTTTTTTTTTTGTGGACAAGTTGTCAAGTTTAATCCCGTTTCGTTTTTAGTCCGATCCACAGACTGAATATCCAAAGCCAAAATAAATCGACAGCGCACCTTGCACCACTCTGTCTTAAAAACAAACTTATGTCAAGCCAAGCAAAGCTGCGACTTGAGATACGGGCTATAGCCAAAAGCATCAGTCATTAAAGAACAAGTCATGAATTAGTTACTGGTTGCTAGAATGGTAGCTTCGTTGCTGCGGCGTTCTTTTCTCCAAACTTTAGGTATAGAGGTAAAAGTTACATAACTAAATATTTTCAAAAGGGGTCACGAATAGTCTATAAAGCATGACGTGTAACATTTCGAGAACATACAAGGGGCTTTCCTTGCCCCCGCGAAATCAATTTATTATCTATCCCCGGGTTTCAAAGCCGGGACCTCAACGATTACGGTAATATTTCATGTATTGTTATTGTGCTTATTTAGACCAGTAATAATTACCATATCTATTGTTAATTTTACTTATTTTTACCAAGCACTAATTAAAATTTTAATTTATATCTTTTTTCTTTTATATCTTGTGTCTTTATATAACATTGTCAAATTTATATTTGTATTGAGTCTATAACTTAAAAGAGAAGTTGAAGTAAATGTTTTTTATTAACTTTTTTTAGTTGACCTCAAAGTTAAGACGATCTAAAGATAAGTTCCTTATAATTTTTGTAACTGTAACTAAATTAATCACTACTCCAACATCTACATTTAAATTATATCTAGGAGTTTCAACTGACTGAAAAACATTATATTAAAGATAGGTCTTGATCAAAATTGTTGTCAGCGACCTAACGACGGTCAATGCGATTATTGTCCAGCTAAAACTTTAGCCGTAACATGTACGTGAAGAGATTGTCGATGCGATCGGTGCATCGACTCGCGACGGATGGGTCCGGCACAGCACTTGCATAGCAATTGCTATGGAGATGGCTGATCACGAGAAGATAACGCTTAAGGACATCGATGGCTGAAGGAAATTAAAGAATTCATAATGTTTGGATCACTACACAAAACACTTTTAACGGTTTAAATTGCTTAATATATTAGTGAAGTGATGTTTCACTCGGAAACGCCGTTTTCGATTTTGACGATCGTGATGAAGGACGCAAGCACTTGATGCAAGATGATATACTTATATGTATAGGCATAAGCATAGGTTTAGATTGAGAAATACACACTACGACATGTAGTACTATAACTATAATAAAAACAATAGACAAATAATAAAAAAGCTAATAAAAATTACAATCATTATTATATAAAACACAACAAGCCTAAATCCAAAACAAATGTCGATATTCAACTTCTAAGAGTCAAAATGACAAAGACAATAATTAATGTAAAACTTTATCAGCTTCATGTAGGCATGAAACATATACCTAACATCTAAGCTACATGCTCTAATATGCAATAAGTTGACCTACTTTAGATTTAGAAGTTCAGATTACCACAGACTAAAACCGAAATACATTTTAATCAAATCCGGTCATTGAAAGAGCTGAAAATTTTCACAAAAGAAAATTTTGTTTTCAGATATACGTTAGAAATACGGAGCTTGTGGGATTCGTTTGCCCATCCATCCATTCATACATCGGACCTTCGGACCAACGTGCTTCTGTTCAGCAGCCGTGGTCACGGGGGCCTATGTGTAAGTGCTTACATGGTTACCATCTTTTATTTATACATAAATTATAAGAAACTTCCGCCTCCGTAGCCAAATAGTGAAACGTGAAAGGTCCTGTATTTGAAACCAAAAGCTACACTACACAGACCGAATCGGTCGCGCATGGCACAGACCGATAACCGATAAGTGAAACGGACACAGAAATATGTTCGCCCATGCCCTTTTATGCCTACAGCAAACACAATTTTGGGTCTTTTAAAATTTCGGACATGCGCCTATGTATACAAAAGCTCTGTTCGTGATCTACTACAATATGTTTTTATAGAAGTAATAAGTATAAACAAAAATGAATCTACCCACTTAATAGTAGCACAGACTATAGATGATGGAAGTATTCAGTAAGCGGAGGGTAGTGGTCAGAAGCAATCAGAGGGTGGTTGGGGAACAATTTGTATGGATTAATTAGCTTTGGGGATGAAGACTGCGGCAATCAACTGAGAGCCTTTAATTATCTTCGCGCGGCTCGAATCGCATAAATTTTCAAAACGTAACCTCAATTTTGTGTACACTGAAATAAACACAATAATAAAAAATAAAGTCAAGTTATTATACATAACATACATAAAAATGTATATGCTAAGAAGCTAACTGAGAAACAAAGGTCTTAATTAAGAATTAATTAATTAATAATAAATTGAAAAAAATACGACCAGGGACAGGACTTGAATCGGCATCGTGAGCGTTGCGTGCTTCCTTAATACGCAAGTGTTAAGCATGCACGCAACGCTGGTGGAATCTGCTGGTATCAAGGTTGAAAAAAATCGACATTGGTTAGAGCAACAGCCCGGAGCGCTGACGAAGCCGGTTCAAGTCCTGGCTGGTCCGTATTTTTTTCTATTTATAAGCAATTTTTAATTTATATAGTGCCGTCATTTGCAATATCATGTGAAAAAAATTTTAAAGACGTTTTCTACACTACTTTACATTTTATTTTTAATAACAATTTAATAAAATATAATTAAAAAAATAGTTACATTATGGAGAAAACGACAATATAGGTGCTCATTGAAATACAACACTTTGAACTGTTTAAAATGCATAAAATATAAGCTAACTTTTAAACCGTTTAAAGTGTATTTTTTAAAAGCTTAAACTACAGATAATACTCTAAGAAGGTTACCGTATGAAAAATGTGTGTTGCTTAACTACTACGGAACCATTCGGGCGAGTTCAACGCGCCCTTAACCAGTTTTAAGTCGAGCTTATTTTCGAGCCATGGTAGTGAAATATCCTGTTGTCCATAATTTGCAATTAACAAGTGTTCGAATCGCATTGTGAGGCATTTGGCGGAATCTCAAACAGTTAACGGACCTCAATCGTGACAATTGAAGCGTCGATACGCAGTTCAATGTAAGTCGTTCTCTACTTGTTACTATCAATTGGTGCTTTGAGTTAACGTCCGCGTTGTAATAGAAATTTTATACGGTATATTTCTTATTTACTCTAATACAGTACAATATGATAGAAATAGACAGGCAAGCATTGAGTTCTAAAGATGAAAGGTTATATATCCCAGCCATATAAAATTTGAACAGGATGCGCTATTTTGGCTTTGGATATTCGGAAATCCACAGATGCAAAACTTGGCGGCTTTTTCATCTGTAATTACCACACATTCAATATCCAGATTTCCAATATGTTAGGAAAAATATAAATTGATTAGAAACTTGTTAAACCCAGGAACCAACCCAACAATGCTTTTAGGTGTTTAGCGTACAGAACTCTGATGGACTTCATAATTTTATGAAATCTACATCTGTCTTCTAAGAAAATCACTTATCGAAACGATACGATCAACAATATGTCTAACCCACAGAAATAAAATCCATTATTTTCATGGTATATTTTTCCTGTAATGTATATTTGCTTTCGAAAATTCTTTTAATCTATGATAAGGTACAGAATTAGTTATGAGCCCAAAAAAATGTTAAACTAATTTAAATACAACTGTTAGTAGTTTTCATATGTTATTCCAAAAACTTGTTAACAGCAGAAACTATTTATGTCGCTGCGCTATTGACGTAGGTATATATTCTAAAAATTCATATTCATCCGTGCAAATGCTAAGAATATATTTGCAGACGACGTTGATTGTAAGTTGTAGATAAAATTATTCTGCAGTTGGTATCCCGGGGCTAGAAGAATTAATCACTCGCGCAAAACGAGTGTACGAGTTTGATGCCACAATGATCTAGTTTTATTCTTTTTAAGTACGTGCCACAGTTTCAAGGACACAGATACTGTTTAATACAACTATCTGTGGATGCGCCATTGCTGGCATGTAACTGACGGATGACAGCCTTGACATATGTCAGTTACAACATCCGCGCTTCCGTATGAGTTATAATACTTTGTGCTGAAGCAAAGCGGTGTATTTTAGTCTTTATTTTAATATTATTCATATGACTACACAATTTTCACTTAAGTTTGAAAATGCGAAATATTATTAAATTATCATTCAGTTATTATTGTATAATGATATTATAATATATACTCTTATAATAAGGGCTAAGAGTTTGTTTGTTTGAACGCCCTAATTTCAGGAACTACTGGTTCAAATTGAAAAGTTATTTTTTTATTGGTGAAACCATGTATGGAGGAAGGCTATAAAGCATTAGGGATGCGACCAATAGGGAATATATTAATACACAATAATAAAAAAATGGGGAAAATGATTCATTTTTGAGGAGTTTCGCGGCGTGAGCTGTTATCGTTGTTATAGTAGTCACATTGAGGCGAAATACTTTATATGGTAAAAAGAACGTGTGCTAGACCAGCTAGTGTCAAACTACTTCATCTCTACAAATGTTTACATCTCCAGCCCTTAAGTACTATCAACCTACCGGAATCCTCCTCAAAGACAGCCCTTCGAAACATTAAGATATTAAAAGCGTTCAAAAGCAATCTTTTTACGTTTTTAAACGTCTAATATTTTACGTGACTTTTTGCCACTTTTCAATTCGTGAATTCATTTGGGCGCTAGGTTTTTGCTTCGCCCTTTGTCGTAATCTTTCGTTACGGCCTTCCGTTAGCCCGGTGAAATGTATTGAGCATTCTTTAAATTATTTCCGATAAAAAAGATGCTTTCACCGATTTTTCTAATCTTCAAGAATCGCTTTTGGAGCATGGATGGTCTTTTCAAATTTGTTGTTACGAATTGGCGTTCTTTTAATGAAATCGCTTCGTTGAACATTTCATTTTATAGATCCTCCCAATTTCAGCATTTTAATCAGTACAAGTATGTATTTCGTTAAAAATAAAGTACAACTGGTTCGTGTGTCTAATGGTAGCAACCAGTAGGACGTGGGTCCAATCTCCACAGATACAACTATAATTTTTCTAAAAGATTTTAAAATTCTTAAGTACGTCTTACCTTAGAGACGACCAAACAATTGATGCATTTTCAAAAATTTACCTAAATATGAACCACGACTATGTGCATAAAAATGTCTTGGGTCCACGTTCCCTTTAACCAAGTTTCGAACTTTTTTAGCCTAAATAACTTAGCGAGCTTTCGTATTACTTCTGATAGATTCTCAATAATACCGACAAAGTACGGATGGCCAACAATAAGTAATAACCCAGTTTTCTTAACTGGATCGACTTTTCCACTTAAATTACTTCGTAGTTTGACCGCAATGGATTGCGGCGGAGTGCAGCCCAATGGAAACTATTGCTTTTCCACGATAATATATATTTTAGAGAAATTCCATTTCGCAGTATAGTTCTATGCAACTACCTAGATATAATACACCGTTTCGTCATTTGTTTTTCGTGTGCTTATTGACTTAGGGAATGCCCTTAAATTTCAGATTAAAGTTCAGAGGACAGCAAAATACATAGAAATAAATTCAATTATGTTTATTGATTAATTTTCCAAATAAGAGTCCGTTTAAATGAAACACTTTTAACGGTTTAAAACGCGACAATTAGTTATTATCTTATTTAAAAAAAAATAAATCACGTAATGTAGGTACGGGCCATTTTCTTATACAGCTACGGAACCCGCGTCATTTTTTCTCCCCTTTTTTTTTTTTTTTTTTTTTTTTTTTTTGTAGGGGGGGACAGACAAACGGGGGGTTTTCCGTGGGGGGGGGAAAATACCCCAGCCATATCACATGTATTCAAGATGCCCTATCGACCTGCGTTGGATTCAGATATTCGGAAATCTTCCGCCTGAAACCGAAAAGCAATTAAACTTAACTTTTTTATTTGTGGACAGGGGTCCGTGACCTGGACGGAATTCCGATATTCCTACGTATACGATTTAACGACCTCTAGAAAACTTTCAACATGTTTTAGACAGGTTATAAATTGATTAGAAAAATGCTGGATCCGGCGGGGATCGAACTCACGACCGATCAACGGATTGTAAGCAATACAATGCCATCGTTACTCTAAGGAGCTCGTCTTCGACAACGATCACGACTCGTTGATCGAACCCGTCAAAGTCGTATGTCATACCTGTATTATATTACTTTCAATTTCCCAGATCTACAGTAACCCAGTAATGATAGTCGCCCGTCTGTCTGGTCTATGCTGGCCCGCGGCGGCGTGGGCTACCGGTGTGGTAAGCTCACGACGCCATTTGTCCAGGCCCCGAGGCCAGCAATTTTGCATCCACACCCATTCGCTTCCATGCGGACACGACCTCGCCGTCCACTATATTATCCTACCTCTTGCTAATCCTTAAGCGTTGACCGTAGTTTACGCGAGTAGAACACATTTATATTTATTTAGGAAACTAAACACTGTAACTTGTGATAAGTAAAATTATAATTATAATATTATAATATTGAAATATCAATATATCAAGAAAATAACATATTCAATACTGTCTATACGTTACGCGAGTAGTACACATTTAAATAAAACACTTTAACGGTTTAAAACGCGATATATATTAGATAAACTTATTTGAAAATGATTTTTAACTTCGGCCCGACGTTTCGGATGCTTTGCAGCAGCCGTGGTCACGGCTGCTGCAAAGCATCCGAACTAATATATCGCGTTTTAAACCGTTAAAGTGTTTTATTTAAATAACATATTCAACAACGGTTAATGGTTAAAATCGCGAAATATATAAATTATCTTACTTTTAACTGCCACTCCCTGTTTAGGATGCTTTGTTGTCGGGTCGTAGTTATAAATAAGTTCACATTAGGTTAACACTTTTAACAATTTTATTTAAAATCTACCCTTTTTACTCGTGTAAATGGCTAGATTAAATTTAATATGATAAAAAGAGAAAACAGTAACTGATTGTAGTTTATCCTACATTTGTTATATACTTGCTTATATGGAAAAAAGTTTTTTGGTCAATTCTTATCATCAATTAAAGTCCACTTATATAGTATCCAGTTTGAAAATATTTTAAGGAATTATATTACATATAATAATGCCTTAAAACCTTTCCATGTACAACGAACTTTCGCCTTTATATTTACTCTAAATGCTTTTGTATATCATAAGACTTAATGGAAGGTGGAAATCCACAGACTGAAAACGAAACGTTATTAAACTTGAAGGCTTTTCATCTGTGGACGCATTTAATATCCAGATTTCCAGACGAAGTCTAACATGTTCCTGAAAAAATACTAATTGGTAAGAAACATAATGATTGATTGATTATTATCAGCCATTTACAGATACAATTAGACCAAGAACCCCGTCACGATTTTCTTTAAACTTTTATATTTTTATACCTATTAATTAAGTCTTAATATTTCCTTTTAATTAAATATCTCTTGTACTTTATCTGCCAACATCCTTGCTTGTGTTTCCTGTGTGTTATTAATTTCTATTAAACATCACTCGGTATGCATATAAAATATTTTTAATCAATGTTTAATTCTACCCTTATAATACGCGTAAAGGATGGCAAGCAATCATCTCTTAATTACACGTTACAGTCTTCAGTCACCTATAATTATGTATCAATATAAAAGCACAAGGGAAAATTCACTTTAATTATTCATAGTAAAGTTCAAATTAGCCTAACCGGATATTTCGTAATAAATACATTAAAACGCACCGAATAATTTTTCGTAATGCGTTTTTTGTATGCGATTTTGCTCTTTATGATGATATCAAAGGAGACGAGATTGGCGTGAAAATTTTATAATTTTTCATCCCGTCTCGTTATGCTCTGTAAAGAATTCCATTCCTTGCTTATCGCGCTGTTTGAGAATGCTCGCGTCCGACGAATTGTGAATTACTTTGCTAACAAAAAAATGTCTACAAAATTACAAATATGTTTCAGAGTTCTGAGTTAGTATTTCTGATACACAAGGTAAACTCAGTGATATATTTATACATTGCGAGGGTAGTACAATATTTCAACGTCGTCTAAGGCTTTCAATTTTTATAATTTCTTTTAACTTATGTAAAAAGTAAGTTGAAAGTTTTAACATCAACGCTCAACCAGGGCATTCCTATTTCTCTAGTAATTGAGCTTCTGTCTCCCGTCTCATATTCGTCATTATTCGTAATATATACCTATTATTGATATTATTGTACATTTCACAACACGTACAAAACATTAATACTAAGGTTCATAGATTGTTCCCTAGCGATGCAACGCTCTCTCAAACTTTTAGAGCTTTTAAAACATTTTAAATCAAAAATCGATTATAGATTTTTAAAAATAAAGTTTTGTAAATCCCGCCCGTGACGTAATATTTTTTTAATCTTAAAACCAACCTTTTCCTTACATTGTACTAATTTACACTAATTTGCAAATGTATTGCTTACAAAGTTCATTGATGTGACAATAAATCCTAGTGTCAATAGTTCCTTTAAAGGGACATCTTTCAAAAGCTTATGAGGTAATTTTTCAATCCTGCTTGGACTTAGGAGCTGTTCCTTCTTTAGGATTTGAAAATATTTCGCGACGTTTTGTCATCGCAAAGATTATTCAGCTTGCACTTGGTCCAGGATCGCTCCACATTCTGAAATTCCATCCACTCGTGACAGCAATAATATGGTTAGAGTCTTTACATTAAGAATTATACACTTCACAATATTTTACGCTTGCAATATTATAATTGTACATTTTAAAAGCCCTAGTAGAATCTCAAAGAGTATAATTAAGATCTTCAGAAGGAATGGAAGCGCAAAAAATAAACAATCAATCACGTCAGTCTGTCGCCTTACAAATGATAACCGTTACATTCAGCCGACACAAATCAAAGATTTCCGCATGAAAAGAGAGCAAAACAGTTTATAAACAGTCTTGTTTTAGGCTGCAGTCTTCTATTAGTGAAGGCTTATAATTAGCTCTTAGTATTGTACACGTGCAAAAAATTACGTCTTCGTTCATAATATAAAAATAAGCAATTTTATCTTTAATATTTTGTGGAGTGGGAAAACTAGACTCAAAAGAGGCCTCTTTTTTCCACATTTGTCTAGTCGAATTTTACATTATTCTATATCGTCCATATCTGCATACTATATTATTCTTACTCGTTATAAAATTTTAGTTTCGTTAATTTTTTTATCCATTTCCATTTTCTCCTTAATATATATTTTTTCACCAGTTATAGTTGGGAAGTAAGAAAGTACTATGGATATATATTTTGTTAATATCGCGCAAGTACACAATCTGCGTTTATAGCAGACCACAGCCTAAATAAAGTCTTGTTTTAGACTCAAGAGACATTCAGACGTCAAATAAAGCGTCAGTAAGCTGGAGGGACGGGATTATGATTTATTAAGCCGGGAATAAATTACAGCTTTTGTAGGCGAACATTTAAACATCAACTTTGACTTTAGAAATATAACATTTTTGACTTGACGAATAGGTAGCCATCTTTTTGTTTCACCTGATGGCCTTCCCTGTGGAGTAACTGGATCGAGAATTTGGTAAAAACTAACGGTACAAGGGAGGCCATTTTAAGAGCTGTCGGGAGTTCAATTCCTGTCCGTTATCGACTTTCTTCAATCTAAATACATTTATTATACACAGTATGTCTACTAGCTGTGCCCGCGACTTCGTCCACGTGGGATAGTAACTATGAGCATAATATTTTTTTGCAAACAACCTCCAGCTTTAAATATTTTTATATCAACACAACTCTAACAAAAAATTGCTAATAATTAAATAATTACTTAAGAACAAATGTATTTACATTCACTTGCTATAAAAACGGTTCTTGCAATTTAACTTTAAAAGTTAGTGATATATACTATCGCTATAATTTTTTAGATCATTTGAAGAGGAATCCTTCTTATGCATATTTTTTGATTTCTTGAACCAAATGAATTAATTGAACCACATCTTTATCTCTTCGCTCATGTTGGACACGGCGCGATGTTATATAGCCTAAAGCCATTGATAAATGCTCCAACCAGCACAAAAATAATTTTCAATTCGAACTAGCAGTTCCTGAGATTAGCTCGTTTAAACAAACAAACTCTTAGCTTTTTGCAGTATATAAAGCTTCTGCAATAACTTATAAGTAGTTTTTTTTTACTGACACGGTATAAAGTTGAACTACTACGTCAACATACTATTAAACTTAGTATCGCATATTTCTTGCAAAGTCAGATAACACGCGTTGTTTATCAAATAAGAACCAGTATGCTCTAATTCCGCGAAATAAGTCCGATCAATTCGTACTACTGATAAAAAATTGGAAGCTAAATTGGTAGTGGCTTGGGTTGTGATAGCGATAGAAACCTACAAATGTTTAAGTGAATGTAGAAGTTGTATACTTTTGATATAAAATAATGTATAATTTGCGAATATCGATTGAAACTACAAGCTGCGTATACACCAGAACCTATAGTATTTTATTTGAAAGGTACGTATTCAAAATATTAGAATTTTTATTTAAATTGTTTTTTAAACATGCTTTGCAACCGTCTTGGTTACGGGGGACTAAAGTCGCCCCTCCCTGAACGCCAGGTCGTAGTTACAATTAATTAAACTATTTTGTAATTTGCATTTAAACCCGTTTAAAGTATTTAAATGTGTCTAACTCGCGTAAAGTACAATATAATTATCTCCCATTTGGTATCTATGAGAGATGTCGATCCGCCATTAAAGTTGAAAATAGTTATTTATTAGGGCGTAATTAACTGAATGAAGACACAATAAATCCAGACAGATCCAATATCGTACGAAAGGCCAGAAAAAACAATACCCTCGCTCTCATAGACGCCATAAGGTTCAATCAATCAATGTCCCTAAAAATAAAAAGGTACCACAACCCACGTAAACTTGGGATATGAAAAAAACTTGTACATTTTTTGTGGCACGACCACGTCGGAGAATAGTTTGAATATACATTAGGGACTCTCCTAATTTCGTCTTGTATAATATATGTACACAATGAAGATCTTTTGAAGGCGAATCAGTATTTGTTTATATGTTCTGAGTTTTTAACACGCAGTACGTACTTACATAACTGCTTCGTTGATCTGCTTTGTCCACGATTTGAGCTTCGTATCTTGGGTTGCAAAATATTACTTGCTTATGTAGAGCTTTTAGATATTTCCAGCGCGTTAAGTCATCACTCTAGTCTCTTTTATTTAAGTATTTGATGTTGAAGCTAAAGTGGTATCACTACAAATAAAACCCAATTGTATGCAAAAGAAGGACTATGCCCTCAGCCCAACCGTCCAATATTAATAGATTGAATCAAAGATACATATATACGTTACTATGATATACATGTAAAATTGGCATAT